TTAAAGATAGGATAGCTGCTTATTTCCTTGACATCTGCTGAGAGGGCATTCCACAGGGCAGGCGCCACCACCGAGAAGGCCCTCTGCCTGGTTCCCTGTAACCTCACTTCTCGCAATGAGGGAACCGCCAGAAGGCCCTCGGCGCTGGATCTCAGTGTCCAGGCTGAACGATGGGGGTGGAGACGCTCCTTCAGGTCTACTGGGCCTTTGAGGCCGTTTAGGGCTTTCAAGGTCAGCACCAACACTTTGAATTGCGCTCGGAAACGTACTGGGAGGCAATGCAGATCTCTCAGAACCGGTGTTGTGTGGTCTCGGCGGCCGCTCCCAGTCACCAGTCTAGCTGCCACATTCTGGATTAGTTGCAGTTTCTGGGTCACCTTCAAAGGTAGCCCCATGCAGAGCGCATTGCAGTAGTCCAAGCAGGAGATAACCAGAGCATGCACCACTCTGGCCAGACAGTCTGTGGGCAGGGAGGGTCTCATCCTGCGTACCAGCTGGAGCTGACAGACAGCTGCCCTGGACACAGAGCTGACCTGCGCCTCCATGGACAGCTGTGAGTCCAAAATGACTCCCAGGCTGCGCACCTGGTCCTTCAGGGGCACAGTTGCCCCATTCAGGACCAGAGAATCATGTTCAGTTTGTGGTCCACTGGAAATGAGAGCTGGACCATCAAGAAGGCTGATCGCCGAAGAATGGATGCTTTTGAATTATGGTGCTGGAGGAGACTCTTGAGAGTCCCATGGACTGCAAGAAGATCAAACCTCTCCATTCGGAAGGAAATCAGCCCTGAGTGCTCACTGGAAGGACAGATCCTGAAGCTGAGGCTCCAAGACTTTGGCCACCTCACGAGAAGAGAAGACTCCCTGGAGAAGACCCTGATGTTGGGAAAGATGGAGGGCACAAGGAGAAGGGGGCGACGGAGGACAAGATGGTTGGACAGTGTTCTCAAAACTACCAGCATGAGTTTGACCGAACTGCGGGAGGCAGTGGAAGACAGGAGGGCCTGGCGTGCTCTGGTCCAGGGGGCCACGAAGAGGCGGACACCACTAAACAACTAAACAACAACAAGACCCCTATATCCTTTTCACATCAGCCTCAGCCCGGCTGTTGTGGTCCAAATCGTCTTGGGTCCCCAGCTGTTTTGGGACTACAACTCCCATCACCTCTAGCCAGCAGGACCAGTGGTCAGGGATTATGGGAATGGTAGTCCAAAAACAGCTGGAAACCCAAGTCTGGAGAGTACCAGGTTGAAACTCCAAAGGCATGGCTCAGCTTTCTTTTCACCCCCAAAGTCTCCCCCCCCCCCGGCTGGTCATTTCCGCCCCCCCAACGCCGCAACCCTTGCCCGTGGCTCCTCTTACGTTTCAAAGCCCCCCGAATCCTCTGGGAACATCGCTTTCCAGGCTCCCGTTCCTTCCAGACCTTCTCCAACGACTCCTCCAAAGGCTCCTTCTCAGCTTCCCCCGTGGGGGTCTGCCCTTGGGGTCCCAATTCGGGGTCTTTGTCTTTAGGGCCCCTCTTCCTGCAGTTCCAGAGCCCCATGGTGCAAGCGGGGCTCTCTCCCTGCCCTCCTGGTTATAAAGCACCAGCCGGGGGTAGAGGGGCTGGGTCAGGGCTGGGTGGGGCGAGTCAGACAACGACCCACCTGTAAGGCTGGTCGGATCTGCTCTGGGGCAGGGAGGACAGGTGAGCAGAGACGGACAGGTGGAAACAGAGAGGGGGGGCGGCCAGCATGGATCAAAGGGATGGAGCGACGAAGGAAAGCAACAAGGTTTGGGACTGTTTTTTTAGCTTAGAGAAATGGTAAGAAGTTTATAAAAAAATATTTCTGGAGTGGACAGACGAAATTGATAGGCTCCCCCGGTAACTTGCGGAAATCCCGCAAATTCAGGACAGATAAAACGGCAGTCCTTTTTTATTATTTATTGGCTATTTTCACATAACAAATTATTCCAACAATTGTATTTCCCCCCTCCCACCCCCCTACGACTTCCCTCAGTTCCTCTTTCTGATTTATTAACACATATTGTTCTCTGCCTGTTATAAAACTGTAAACATCTCTAAGTTGTCCATCGATTATATTAACAAACAAATTTGTGTCTGTTTATTCAAAAGCTGCCAAGGAGTCCCAATTGATTTTGTTGTTTCTTTAGGTACTTTGTAAAAGGTTCCCGTTCTTCTTTGAAGTCACAGTTGTCCTTTGTGTGTCAATTTTGCCAGTTCCTGCATAGTCCATCAATTTCTCTTGCCACTGTTCTTTTGTCGGGGTTTCTTCATTCTTCCATCCTTGTGCTATTAAGACTGTTGTCGCATACATAAATATATTCTTCATTTTCCTTGGCAGGTCTTTTCCTACAATCCCTAACAAAAATGCTTCAGGTTTTTTTCTACAAATGTTAATCTGAACATTTTCTTCAACTCATTATATATCATTTCCCAATTTTTAAAAATTTCTCTGCAATCCCACCACATCCTTCTTCATGCAGCACATAGTTAAACTGCGGAACTCCCTGCCACAGGAGGCGACAGCCACCAACTCGGATGGCCCTGATCCTACACACCCTTCTTGTGTCAGGGAAGAGAAGGCAATTTACGCAGGATAAAGGCATGGCGGCTGTGCTCTGTCCTCCACAGTTGGCAGGCTGCAATGCTTCTGAATCTCAGTTGTTGGAAACCACAGGAAGGGAGCGGGCACAGGTTCGAATCCCGCTTGCTGGTTTCCCATCGGGGCATCTCAGTGGCCCCTGTGCGGATGCTGAGCTAGGCGGGCCCTTGGAATGATCCAGCTATAAGGCTCTTCATCTGTGAGGGAGAGAGAAAAAGCCGCGGGACAGTGTGGTGTAGTGGTTAGAGCAGTGGTTCCCAACCGGACTTGCAAGTTGCGTGTTCTCTCCTGGTGGAAAGTCCCCAAAACTGGGGTGTGAAGAGGCTGAAGATAGGGCATTCCTTCCACTGTGAGTTGAGGAACAGAGCGTATTGAGTTGGGTGGGGGAGACACCCGAATTTTCCATGGAAAAATCTGACAGCACACACTAGTCTGGACCTGTCTATGGAGAGATGACTTTTCCACCCAGCAAGATAATCTCTTTGGGCACCTGTAATAAACAAATGTCTGCCCGTATTCCCTTACGGGGGACACAAGAGCCCTTATAGAGTCCTTTGCAGGTTCTCCATCGGTAGGAGAAATAACAGAGGCCAAGCAGAGAATATTGAGAAGCAAAGCAGCTAGTAAGCCTGATCTTTATTGAACTGTTGCAACAGGGTGCCCCCTTCACACGCAGGAGAAGGAGGAGGACCCCGAACCCAGGTGTGCCTGCCCTTATATAGACATTTTAAATTGCCCGCCCTGGAGTCCAAGACCACCCCCAGAAACATCATACCTACATCACAGAAAGGGGTGGTCTACAACAGAAATCTGAGCGCATTGTTTGTCTCCTGTGTTTACCTCCTGTCTGGCAGGTTACCTGTTAATGCTCACTTGAGAGCATACCCTGGGGAGCCTGGCCAGACTTTTGTAATGACAAATACTTAGTTCCTGAGCCAGGTCACAGGCTCACCCTATTCATACACAAACATACCCTTCAGACAGGATTTGTGAACGAAAAGACAATGGGGAGGATTTTCCATTTTCCTTCGACCTTGCAGACATATATTTGAGGTCAATTTGGGAGGGACAAAATGGTTTCAGGACTTTTTCTGTGGGGTTTCAGACATGTTGTTTATATAAGCAGTTATGAACATTTCCCGTTCATGGATCACTCTTAAAAAGCAGAGACATCACCTTGCCAACAAAGGTCCGTATAGTTAAAGCTGTGGTTTTCCCAGTAGTGATGTATGGAAGTGAGAGCTGGACCATCAAGAAGGCTGATTGCCAAAGAATGGATGCTTTTGAATTCTGGTGCTGGAGGAGACTCTGGAGAGTCCCACGGACTGCAAGAAGATCAAACCTCTCAATTCTGAAGGAAATCAGCCCTGAGCGCTCACTGGAAGGACAGATCCTGAAGCTGAGGCTCCAATACTTTGGCCACCTCAGGAGAAGAAAAGACTCCCTGGAAAAGACCCTGATGTTGGGAAAGATGGAGGGCACAAGGAGAAGGGGACGACGGAGGACGAGATGGTGGGACAGTCTTCTCGAAGCTACCAGCATGAGTTTGACCAAACTGCGGCAGGCAGTGGAAGACAGGAGTGCCTGGCGTGCTCTGATCCAGGGGGTCACGAAGAGGCGGACACCACTAAACGACAACAATTTACAATTTTTGTTTAACCCGCAAGAAAGAAGGCCTTTTCGCTGGCTAGGTTCAATTCTAATCCTTCCAACCTTCTTTGGGGTAGGTTTGCGGGTTTGGCAGGAGATAGGATCTGGCGATGCCCACCTGGTGGAAACTCTAGCTCACATGGCCCTTAAATGTAAAATGTAGGTGGACACGACTAAACTAAACAACATGTTTATATATTTATATATATATTTATAATTTATATATATTTATATATAAATATATATAAATTATATATAAATATATATATATAAATTAATATATATATTTATATATAAATATATTTATATATAAATATTTAAATAATAAATATTTAAATAATAAATATTTAAATAAATATAATAAATATTTAAATAAATATATAAATATATTTATATATAAATATATTTGTTGTTGTTTAGTCGTTTAGTGTTGTCTGACTCTTCGTGACCCCCTGAACCAGAGCACGCAAGGCACTCCTGATAAATATATATATATATATATGGTGGGAAATGCGCCATAAAATAAGGCAAGGCCTCTCTTCTTTTTGCATGAACTCCTTTTGTTCCTCGAGCGCAGCGACGGATCTTTGCAAAAGGGCAAAAAAAAATAATTCTTAGTTTGGGGTTGGCTTTTCCCCCCGTCCGTGAGTCGCGCGCCCCGCGTATCTATCTATACGAAAGTCTAAGTGCGAATGTTTTCCCAGGCGCGCGACCTCCCCGGGACGTTCCATTGCTGTATGAACGTTCCACGCGAGCGTTCCAAGCGGAAACCGGAAGCGTGCGGAGAAAGCGAGAGCGTGCGCGTGCTTGTGCGTGCGCGCGCTTGCTTGCTTGCTCTATTCCCTCCTGCAGCTGCCTTGTTGGGGAGACCTGCTTGGAAAGGTGAGGAAAGGGTGCAAGGAGTAAGGGAGGGAAGGAAGGAAGGAAGGGGGCGCAGGGTGGGGTGCAAAAAGAGGGGTGCGTGCAGAGATGTGGGGCAGGGCAGGTTTCTGGGTGCGGGTGCAGAAGGAATAACGGGGGGTGCAGCAAGGGACCTCATCATATTTGCAACATGCGTTGCTCATTAACGTGCTTGCAAGGAACCGATGTCCTTCGGAACTCCCTGCCACTGATTTTTTTTTAGGCAGGAGCCTTCACCCTGCTGCTAAGGTCAAACCTTTTATATTTTATTATTTTTATTTATTATTAGATTTATAACCCAGCTTCCCCTCCAAGGAGCTCAAGACGGCATGCCTGGTTCTCCTGCCCCGCCCCCCCAATTTTATCCCCATTTGACAGCCTTATGCTGAAAGCTTCCTTAGACACAGCGAGGCTTACTTCTGAGTAAATGGTTGCCATTAATTTGATTTTAGAATGTATTTCAATTAATTGATTGTGATTTTATGTAAACTGTGTTATTTTTACGGTTGTTAGCCGCTCTGAGCCCGGCTTTGGCTGGGGAGGGTGGGATATAAATAAAATTTTATTATTATTATTAATTGTGGTAATAAATAATGTCAGGGGAAAATAATAAGAAAGTGTGGTTAAGGGGAAGTACAGTGGTACCTCGGGTTAAATACTTAATTCGTTCTGGAGGTCTGTTCTTAACCTGAAACTGTTCTTAACCTGAAGCACCACTTTAGCTAATGGGGCCTCCTGCTCCTGCTGTGCCGCCGGAACACAATTTCTGTTCTCATCCTGAAGCAAAGTTCTTAACTCGAGGTAATATTTCTGGGTTAGCAGAGTCTGTAACCTGAAGGGTATGTAACCTGAAGCGTATGTAACCGGAGGTACCACTGTATATTTCTGCTTCGAGACTTGCATTCATTTGTACACGCAGTCTATTTCTTCCTTGCATGTATATCTTTATCCCCCCCTCAAATAGTTTGGGGTGGTGTGTATGTGGGTCTCCCCCTCCTCCTTTAATCTCTGCAACATTCCTTTGAGGCAGGGTGGGCAGAGAGGAGGCAGTGACTGGCCACAAAGATCACACCCAGTGATATTTCGAAAGCAGGATTCGAACACTGGTCCCTCCCAGGTCCAGTGGTTCTCAAATGGTTTTGCGCATGGCTTTTTATAAGTGCTGCTGTGGGTTAAACCACAGAGCCTAGGACTTGCTGATCAGAAGGTCGGCAGTTCGAATCCCCGGGACGGGGTGAGCTCCCGTTGCTCGGTCCCTGCTCCTGCCAACGTAGCAGTTCGAAAGCACGTCAAAGTGCAAGTAGATAAATAGGTACTCTTCCAGTAGGAAGGTAAACGGCGTTTCCGTGCGCTGCTCTGGTTCGCCAGAAGCGGCTTAGTCCTGCTGGCCACATGACCCAGAAGCTGTACGCCGGCTCCCTCAGCCAGTAAAGCGAGATGAGCGCCGCATCCCCAGAGTCGGTCACGACTGGACCTAATGGTCAGGGGTCCCTTTACCTTTACCTTTAAGCCTCCCAGAGTGGCTGGGGAAACCCAGCCAGATGGACAGGATATAAATAAATAATAAAATTATTATTATTATTTGCATAATGGGTAGATAACTTTTCAAAATGATAGCAAGAGCAAGGCTTCTTAGTGTTGATGAGGAGATGAGAATTTGCTTGTCTCAAATTAGAGCGAATATAAATGAGATTACCTGGCAAAAGCAAGCTCACACCTCTCATCGAGTTTGCATGCATACATATGTAAGAAGCTCGTGTATAATTATATTTTGTTCTTTTTTAAAAAATATATACTTTATTAGTTGAATATAAGAACAACATACAATCAAACACCTCCTGCCAACCTAGCAGTTCGAAAGCATGTCAAAGTGCAAGTAGATAAATATGTACCCCTCTGGCGGGAAGGTAAACGGCGTTTCCGTGCGCTGCTCTGGTTCGCCAGAAGCGGCTTAGTCATGCTGGCCATATGACCCGAAAGCTGTACGCCGGCTCCCTCGGCCAGTAAAGCGAGATGAGCGCTGCAACCCCAGAGTCGGCCACAACTGGACCTAATGGTCAGGGGTCCCTTTACCCTTTACCTTACAATCAAACACAAGCAATCAAATACAGTTTCCTCCTACCCCCCCCAAAAAAAACCCAGCCCCAACTACGTCCATTAGTAATAGAATCAAATAAAAAAATATTTCTACAGTTGCTGGTTTAAAAAATATCATTCCACATGTATTTTGTTCTTATATAGCTGCATTGTATTATGCTTTCTGGATGTTGCACAATAATATTATAAAGCAGTTGTGTTCTGTGTGATAAATCAAGCACAGCTGGGACTTGTTTATTCCCCCGTGTATTCCTTATCTGTTTAAAAAACACCTCTGCGATTTTTATTCTGAAAGTGTGGCTCAGAGAAAAAAGTTTGAGACCCCCGTCCTAGTCCAACGCTAACCACTATACCTCCTTTTTTTAAAAAAATACATTTTTATTAATTTTAACATACAAATTATAAAGCGTACCACACAAATTATTACAAATACACTTTTTTGGGGACTTCCATCAGCACCTCCGATGATCTTCCGTCTTAACCTCTTTTTATGCATTACTTAATTTTATATTGTCATTACCTCTCTTGACCTATCATCTCCCCTTTTCCATTTTTACAATATTTCCTACAATACTCCTCACAGAACTTCTTGCAAACCTGCAAACGTCGTCTGATCATCACAAATACTTTTCATATAGTTCGTAAATTTACTCCAGTCTTCAGTAAATTTTTGGGCCACCAGTTTTGGATCCTTCCTGTTAATTTGTCTAATTCTGCATAATCCCATCAACTTCGTCCTCCATTCTTCAATCGTTGGCAATTCTTCTTGCTTCCATTTCTGGGCTAATAGTATTCTGGCTGCTGTTACTGCATATAAAAAAAGCTTACATTCTTTTCTATTTATATCACTTCCCACCATTCCCAATAGAAATGCTTCTGGTTTCTTTGTAAATGTATATTTCAACATTTTTTTCAACTCGTTACATATCATCTCCCAAAAACATTTCACCTTTTTACATTCCCACCACATATGATAGAATGTTCCCTCTTTTTCTTTACATTTCCAACATTGATTGCTAGTTTTATACATTTTCGCTAACGTAACAGGAGTGATATACCATCTATACATTTTCATCACATTTTCTTTTAATGCATTACATGCAGTAAACTTTAAACCTTCTTTCCATAATTTCACCCAGTCACTCAGTTGTATATTATATCCTAACCACTATACCTCCCACCCATCGCCTCTCTCTTCCCCAGGACCGCATGTCTGAGCCGGGGCCCCCCACGCAGACGGAGTACGCCCTGCGCCGGCGCTTGCCGCGCCGCCTCCCTCGCCGGCGCAGCGACATCTACATCAACATGAAGACGGATTTCAAGGCGCAGCTAAGCCGCTGCCAGAAGCTGCTTGCACCCGGCAGCGGCTGTCCTGAAATCTGCATCCACGGACTGGGGCTGGCCATCAACCGCGCCATCAACATCGCCCTGCAGTTAGAGGCCACCGGCAGCGGGTCCCTGTGCCTGGCTGCCAACACGTCCACCGTGGAGCTGGCCGACGTGGCCGAGCCGGAAGGGGACAGCGACGAGCCGCTGGCCAGGACCCGGAACAACTCCGCCATCCACATCCGGGTCTGCCGCGTCTCCCCGGAGTAGCCGCCGGTCCAAACCTCAGTGTCCCTGGGTGAGGAAGAGAGTCTTTGCTTCCACGAAATGCGTCGCTCGAATCCCGGGGTCCTGTGTTATGTAGGAGTGACTGGGGGATCCCCGCCTTTCCAAACTGGTTTAGTCTTTGCTGGCTGGACTGGGCACGAGGTTTGCAGTTTCTCCGTGCACTGAACGCACAATTCTCCATTTCGTGTGACAAAACGCCAGCGCCGAATTAGAGCCTCGTTTCTCCCCCTTTTCTGGCTAAATTGGAACACTATTCTCCAGGACAAATGTTGCTGGCCTTGGCAGAGTGTGGACTTTTCTCTGTGGGAATCGGAACCACCCTACAGCAAAAGAGGGACCTGCAGTGGACGTAGTCGGTTTTCCCCCCAGCCTGAAAACCAAATTGTTACCTAAGTGGGGCGTGCATTTTCACTTGTTCGCAAGAAAGATCCTTAGAGGCCTGGCGTCGCAGGCTGACTTCCTTAATGCTGTGACGTCTGCAGGGTGTTGCTTCCAAACGTTTCAGTGTGTATGTGTGTCTTGTGGTGTTTTGGAGTGTATTTTTTGCTTGGATCTGGGGAATAAACCCTTGTTTACCAGGAGGGAGAGAAGAGAGCCTTTTCTCAGTTTTTCAAGGGGCACTGGGCAAGGTAAGATTGCATTATTTAGCAAAATGTAGAGGCCTCAATCGAAGCAGAAAGATCGCTTGAGTGTTTTGCGTAAAATGCTTATAAGAACAGACAAACCCCCCAAAATCAGCAAGATTGAAAAACGGCAACATCTGGTCCAGCACCATGTTCTCACAGTAGCCAACCTGTGGGAAACCAGCCAGTAGGATTCGAACACAAGACCAACATTCTCCCCTCCTGTGATTCCCAGTCCAGCAAACAGCATTCAGAAGCATCAGAGTATAGCCATTGTGGCTAGTAGCTGCTGATAATAGGGTTGCCATACGCCTGGAATTTCCTGGACATATCTGGAATACTGTTTTCAGCAGAAGCATCTGGGTGGAAATTAGCCAAATGTCTGGGAAAATCCGGACGATATGGCAGCCTATGACAGCAGTGCCGATTTTGCTGATTTCCCCTTAAAATAGCTCAAAAACGGCATTTTTGTGTGTGATGTTGCCCAAAAGAGCTTTGGGCAAAACTAAAAAAAACCAAACCCTTTCTGTCCAGATTTTCACTGTTTGAAATACGGCAACCCTCCGCTGATAGACCTCTCCTCCATGAATTTGCCCGGTACAAATCGGTGGCCATCACTGACGCCTGCAGAAAGGAGTTCTGTAGCTTTAACTACGTGCTACGGGAGGAAGGACTTCCCATTAATAATAATAATAATAATAATAATAATAATAATAATAATAATTTATTATTTGTACCCCGCCCATCTGGCTGGGTTTCCCCAGCCACTCTGAGCGGCTTCCAACAAAGATGAAAAATACATTAAAATGTCACACATTAAAAACTTCCCTGAACAGGGCTGCCTTCAGATGTCTTCTAAAAGTCAGGTAGTTGTTTATCTCTTTGACATCGGGGGGGGGGGGCGTTCCGCAGGGCGGGCGCCACCACCGAGAAGGCCCTCTGCATGGTTCCCTGTAGCTTTGCTTCTCGCAAGGAGGAAACCGCCAGAAGGCTTCCATGAGTTCTACTGTGACGAGAGGGGGAGGAAGACTTTTCTCTTTCCAATTTCTCCATGCCAATTTCTCGATGTTATAAACTCCCATCATGTCGCCTCCTGCTCACCTCCTCTCTAAACTAAAAGGTCCCAAATGGTGCAATCTTTCCTCCATAAGGTGCCTTTCCATCCACTACATCCATCACAATGGGGCTGATATGGAAGGTGTATTCCCAAACCTCTGCTCTCATGAGCCTGACTGAGCAGCAGGGGCTTTTCATCCTCCCTCTGACTTGTGGTTACGGTTTTATAAAAGATTCTGTAGCGGCTTTGGCATTTGGCATTTTGCCTGTCCATGGAGGCGCAGGTTAATTCTGTGTCCAGGGCAGCTCTATCTGGTACGCAGGATGAGACCCTCCAGCCCACAGACTGTCTGGCCAGAGTAGCGCATGCTCTGGTTATCTCCCACTTGGACTACTGCAATGCGCTCTACGTGGGGCTACCTTTGAAGGTGACCCAGAAACTACAACTGATCCAGAATGCGGCAGCTAGACTGGTGACTGGGAGACCATATAACACCAGTCCTGAAAGACCTCCATTGGCTCCCAGTATGTTTCTGAGCACAATTCAAAGTGTTGGTGCTGATCTTTAAAGCCCTAAACGGCCTCAAAGGCCCAGTAGATCTGAAGGAGCGTCTCCACGCCCATCCTTCAGCCCGGACACTGAGGTCCAGCTCCGAGGGCCTTCTGGCAGTTCCCTCATTGCGAGAAGTGAGGTTACAGGGAACCAGACAGAGGGCCTTCTCAGTAGTGGCGCCCGCCCTGTGGAAAGCCCTCCCACCAGATGTCAAGGCAATAAACAACTATTTTACTTTTAAAAGACAACTGAAGGCGGCCCTGTTTAGGGAAGTTTTTAATGTTTGATGCTGTATTGTTTTTAATATTCGGTTGGAAGCCACTCAGAGTGGCTGGGGAAACCCAGCCAGATGGGTGGGGTATAAGTAATAAATTATTATTATTATTATTATTAATAAATTTTATTTATACCCCGCCCTCCCCAGCCAAGACCGGGCTCAAGGCGGCTAACAACCGATATAAGAACAAATTGATTGAAATACAACTTAAAAACAAGATTAAAATACAACATTAAAATGCAGCCTCATTTCAATGGAAACATTATTATTATTATTATTATTATTATTATTGGTGTTGTTTCAGCTCCATTCTGTCTGGAGATATTCTCTCTCTCTCTGTGCAGGGAGACCTCTTAAAGGTGGTGTGACATCAGATCTCCATGCAAATCAGCCTCGCCTCCCTCGACTTGAGCCCAGAGGTGGTTACGTAACCTCACAGACAACAATGGCAGCTGGCACCCCTCCAGGGAGGTCCCGGTAAACAGTCTGTGCCGATCTCTTGGTGAGGCGGCCGTGACAGGAAGGGCTTCTGGGATGGAGTCCTCCTCATTGTTTGCGTCCAGCGGGCCTCCAGGAAGATCAACACAGCACAACGCACGGGCCAAAAACGAGGGTTTGTTGTCTTTAGCAAGCAGGTTGGATCCTTGCCACCCATATTGACCTGTGCTTGAGGCTACAGCTGCGGAAAGGTTCAGCTTTAAAGAGATGGGAACATCGCTGATTTTGTGTGTGTTAGGTGTTGCAGAGCCCCATGGAGGCCTCATTGCAACGTCCCTTTGTTTGGTTCCCCAACCCAGTGCCCTCCAGGAGCTTTGGGCCACAGCTTTGGGCTCAGGGAGTACAGCAGGGCTGCCTGGCGTTGTCTGTGCTCTGTATCTTCTGACACCCAGCTCCTCTGGACATCCACGAGAGGTAGAAAAATGTTCCATCCACTGTCTTTTATCATTGTTCCCCCTTACTCTCCTATTCCTATTATGGCTCTCAGTGCGTTTTTGAGCACAATTCAAAGTGACCTTTAAAGCCCTAAACGGCCTCGGCCCTGTATACCTGAAGGAGCGTCTCCACCCCCATCATCCAGCCCAGACACTGAGATCCAGCACCGAGGGCCTTCTGGCGGCTCCCTCGCCCTCCCACCAGATGTCAAGGCAAAAAAACCTACAGTGGTACCTCTGGTTACATACGCTTCAGGTTACAGACTCCACTATAACCCAGAAATAGTACCTCGGGTTAAGAACTTTGCTTCAGGATGAGAACAGAAATCGCAGTGCAACAGCAGCGGGAGGCCCCATTAGCTAAAGTGGTGCTTCAGGTTAAGAACAGTTTCAGGTTAAGAATGGACCTCCGGAACGAATTAAGTATGTAACCAAAGGTACCACTGTATTTTACTCTTAAAAGACACCTGAAGGCGGCCCTGTTTACGGAACTTTTTAATGTCTGACGCTGTATTCTTTTTGATATTTGGATGGAAGCCGCCCAGAGTGGCTGGGGAGACCCAGTCAGATGGGTGGGGTATAAATAATAAATTATTATTATTATTATTATTATTATTATTATTATTATTATTCTCCTGCCAACCTAGCAGTTCAAAAGCACGTCAGAGTGCAAGTAGATAAATAGGTACCACTCCAGCGGGAAGGTAAACGGCGTTTCCGTGCGCTGCTCTGGTTAGCCAGAAGCGGCTGTCATGCTGGCCACGTTATTATTATTATTATTCTCGAAACATCCCCCCCCAACCTTCCTTTGTAGGGGAGTCTCCCCATCTCTGCTTCAGCGATCAGAATTGCCCCTTCCAGCTATAAATAGCTGCAGAAAATGGGCAGGGGGAGAGGGTATCCTATTTATCCCCCCTGATGTCAAGCGATGGTGAAGTTGTGTTTGGTTACAATGACGCTCCTTTCTTGTCTGCTAGCCTGGATGTTCCTGAGTTGTCCAAAGGGCAATGAATTTTGCAAAATGGGGGTTCTCCCAGTCACTGCTGTTCTTTTCTTGATTTGGGGGGGCAAGAGATCTATCTTTGGAGCCCTCCAGCCTCCCCCCTTCAACCCAGAGAGAGTCTCTGCTGTCCTGTCGTCGCAGCTGTGTGTTGGGAGACGGCTTATCGGGACCAGGTCGGAAATAACTCTTTCCACCACCGCCTCGCTGGCATTCTCACGCTGTTCAACAAGAGTCAGGGCGCCTGCGTTAACCCCGGACGCAAGCTGCTGATAAGACAGGGCTGGCACCCCTGCGAGGCTGTGGGGCTCCCAGCTCTTGTCATCCCCAGCGAGATCCGGAGAGCACCAGGTTGGGGAACTCAGCTCTAGCCAAACACCTGATTCCTTCTGCAGCTTCTTGCAAGATGTGAAACCCAGACATACACCGAAAACACTTTATTTTAGACCGTATCCGCAATTCGTTCTCGAACTGGATTCTGAACATGAAGCTGCATGTGGGAAGATTCAGGAAAGAGAAAATCAAGTCCTCCTCATTATTATTATTTATATCCCACCCTCCCCAGCCGAAGCCGGGCTCAGAGCGGCTAACAACAATAAAATGATACACATTCTAAAATCATTTCATTATAAAATTAACTCAAATCAGATTAATGGCAACCAATTGGGCTGGCCAAAGGCCTGGTGGAACAGCTCTGTCTTGCAGGCCCTGCGGAAAGATGTCAAGTCCTGCAGGGCCCTAGTCTCTTGTGACAGAGCGTTCCACCAGATCGGGGCCACGGCCGAAAAGGCCCTGGCTCTGGTTGAAGCCAGTCTGACCTCCCTGTGGCCCGGGACCTCCAAGATGTTTTTGTTTGAAGACCGTAAGGTCCTCTGTGGGACATACCAGGAGAGGCGGTCCCGTAGGTACAGGGGTCCTAGGCCGTATAAAGGTAAATGGACCCCTGACCATTAGGTCTAGTCGTGACCGACTCTGGGGTTGCGGCGCTCATCTCGCTTTATTGGCTGAGGGAGCCAGTGTACAGCTTCCGGGTCATGTGGCCAGCATGACTAAGCCGCTTCTGGCGAACCAGAGCAGCGCACAGAAACACCGTTTACCTTCCCGCCTGAGCAGTTTCTATTTATCTACTTGCACTATGACGTGCTTTCAAACTGCTAGGTTGGCAGTAGCAGGGACCGAGCAACGGGAGCTCACCCTGTTGCGGGGATTCGAACTGCCGACCTTCCGATCGGCAAGTCCTAGGCTCTGTGGTTTAACCCACAGCGCCACCCATGTCCCTCCTAGGCCGTATAGGGCAGAGTTAAACTATGGAACTGCCTGCCAAGAGGACGCAGCGATGGCCACCAAATTTTAAAAGAGGATTGAACAAGCTCATGGAGGAGGAAAGGGCTCTGGAGCCAGAACATATTCTCCACTGGAGCCATAGTCAGCCCCCTCCTCCATGATTTTGTCCAAATTCTCAGGCGGCCCTCCCAACAGTTTGCGAAGTCCTGACTCTTGCAGATGACAGAGCCCAAAAGAGCAGCCTGGCAACTCCGGAGGCAAGTTCTGTTTTCTGTTTTGCTTGGCAGCGGGGGAGCCACGTGAATTGGGGACTGGGGAAGGAGCCAGCCCATTTCAGCCACCTCCACTTTGCAAGCCGTGTGTGTCTGTGTGCAGTCAGTGACCTCGCTGGCTCCGCGCGAAGGTCAAGGCTGGCAATCTGGGATGGCAACAAGAGCATGGGCACGTAGCTTCTGATTGCTTCCAAGTGACAGGAAGTCACTGTTCCGCTTGGTTCTGGACCAGTCGGACCTCATCTGCGAGTTGTGCGTCCGGTTCTGGGGCTGCAGTGTAAGGAGGACATCGACCTGCTGGAATGGGATTTGGGAGAGGGGCAACTGAGGTAGTCCGTGGCAAGGAAAGCTAGCCTTGTGGGAAAAGGCTGAAGGAACTAGCTCAGTTGGTGGAGCATGAGACTCTTAATCTCAGGGCTGTGAGTTCGAGTCCTGCATTGCAGGGAGTTGAACTAGATTGGCTCCCAGTACGTTTCCGAGCACAATTCAAAGTGTTGGTGTTGACCTTTAAAGCCCTAAACAGCCTTGGCCCAGTAGACCTGAAGGAGCGTCTCCACCCCCATCATTCTGCCAGGACGCTGAGGTCCAGTGCCAAGGGCCTTCTGGCGGTTCCCTCATTGCGAGAAGCAAAGCTACAGGGAACCAGGCAGAGGGCTTTCTCGGTGGTGGCGCCCGCCCTGTGGTTCGCCCTCCCATCAGATGTCAAAGAGATAAACAACTACCTAACATTTAGAAGACATCTGAAGGCAGCCTTGTTCAGGGAAGTTTTTAATGTGTGCCATTCTAATGTATTTTTAATCTTTGTTGGAAGCTGCCCGGAGTGGCTGGGGAAACCCAGCCAGATGGGTGGGGTACAAATAACAAATTATTATTATTATTGATGACCCCCGTAGCCCCTTCTACAATTCAATTATGAACTGGGAATGTTTAACCTGGAGAGGAAAAGAATGATGGGGGAAGGGGGTACGAAACCAGTCTTCAAATCCCTTCTGGATTATGCCAATGTCCCACCTAGTCCAGAGTCCTGTTCTCACGGGGCCAAACAATTGCCCCAGTGAGAAGTCCACTTGCAGGATCTGAGCACAAGAGCCGCTCTCCAGTCCTGTGGTTTCCAGCAGCTGGCACTCAGAAACGTAAAGGTAAAGGGACCCCTGATCATTAGGTCCAGTCGTGACTTACTCTGGGGTTGCGGCGCTCATCTCGCTTTATTGGCCGAGGGAGCCGGCGTACAGCTTCCGGGTCATGTGGCCAGCATGACCAAGCCACTTCTGGCGAACCAGAGCAGTGCACGGAAACGCCGTTCACCTTCCCACCGGAGCGGTACCTATTTATCTACTTTCACTTTGACGTGCTTTCGAACTGCTAGGTTGGCAGGAGCAGGGACCGAGCAACGGGAGCTCACCCCGTTGCGGGGATTCGAACTGCTGACCTTCTGATCGGCAAGTTCTAGGCTCTGTGGTTTAACCTACAGTGCCACCTGCGTCCCTCAGAAACATTACTGCCTCCCAGTTGTGGAGGTGGAGCCTTCTCCATCAAAACGTCAACAGAGAGAAGAGGTCAAGGATTATTATTTTTTCTGCCCCCCCAGAGGGCAGAGGGTTTCAGTCACAAGAGGGTAGGTTCTGGGTGGACGTTAGGAGAGAGGTTTTGATGGTAAGAGCTGCCGGGACAATGGGTTAAAATGGCTTTAAAGGGTGGTGGTCTCCCCTGGGATAGAAGTCTTCAAGCAGACTTCTTGAAGTCTCTTTTGGCGTAGTGGTGAAGCGCTGGATTTTCCTGCCCTGAGCAGGGTGGGGTTGGACTGGATGACCTCTAGGTGCTTCATAATTTGCTTCTACTGTCCAAGCTCGTCTCTGGAAAATTTGAAGTCAATGGTGACAGAGAAAGGTGTGCCACTGGGCATATGCAGAGTGCCTTTCCCTTGCCATTGCAAATCCACAGCCGTTTCTCACACATAACTGAGAGACTATGCAGTGGGAAGGTTATTCAAGACGCCCTTGCAAGCCTGAATGCTCTGGTTTAGAAATTGAAACTCTGGATATTCTGGGAAGCACGACAACCTTTAATAAAGATAAAACAGAACTACTTAAAAAAAACAAAATCCCATCCACCAGGAAATCTTCCTTTCCCAAACCCAGTATACAAACCAGCTGCTCTCTGAAGTCAACAAGATAAATATACAGGAAAACTGTACATGTTTAACTTAGTATCAAATATAAACTCTCATAAAGTCCCTTAGAACAAAAACTTTACATAGGTGTATATCCTCTGTGGCACCGAAGCCCTTTATCCCTCTCCTCGCAAGGAGTCGAACCTGGAGCCGTCAAATCTTCACCTTCGCTTTACAGAAATAGCGGACGCAGCAACTTTTAACGCTTTGGAGAGGAGAGCGAAGGGACTCGCATCCATGGAGATCGTCTCAACTGTTATTACAGCAGGCATTTTGATAAATCGGCTTCTTTCTTGGCAAGAAGGGGGGTTTGACTAGATGACCCCTGGGTCTCCTTGCAGGTCTGTGATTCTAAGACTATGGGCCCCTTCAGAAATGCCCTTTTCATTGAGAATTGGCAATGATTTGCGCCCATGATTATATTTCTGCCCTGCCTTCGATATTCTTTGTGCCTGTAAATGTTTTGGGGTAGACACACTGTTTCGTTCCCAATCCTTTCATATCCTGTCCTTCCTGCTGAAATCCCGTAACGTTTTACATACCACAAATGGGGGGAGGGCCTTTGGTGGTGCTACAGCCACTCCCAATCAATAATGTGGGAAGCATCACGGAACTACTAATAAAGCTGAATAAATCCATTACTAATGCACTGCTATTGTGTCAAGATTACAGAAGGCACTTGCAAAAATAAAACAGCATCTGAAGGTGGCCCTGAAAAGATTGACACCTGCCAATCAAGTCTTTATCACCTCCAGTGGTACAGGGTAGATAGATCTCGCTCCCCTCCTGGCGCATCAAACATTTTCGCAGTCCTTTATTTCCCAAGTTAGGTATGCTTTGAAGGACACCTGCCAGTCACCCTCACCTCTTCGGAGCATCTGGTCCCTTTTCAGATGCTCCCTACAACTGATGCTTTGAAACCATGCAGCCCCAACTTAATGCACGTTTACTCAGAAGTAAACCCCACTAAATTCAAGGCGTTCTTCACTCCCAAGCTGCGGCTTTCGAGAAACGACTTTCGACTTCCGCTTTCCACATTCACAGCAGAGAGAGCCCAGCAAATACCTAGACAGGACTGTGAAAATGATGGAAGTGGAACCCCAAGGAACTTGCATGCTTTCTGACTTGCTAATGTGCCGGCCCCCAGAAACCAGCTCTGGAAGGGCACCAGAATTAGCCTTGGGCCCTAGCTCTATAAAAGGCCGCTCTTGATGGTTTCCTAGTGGCCGTGGATCTTTCTTTGCTGAAGGTGATATCAGTTCCCCACCAAAACCTTTCATTTTGCTGCCTGCCAAACCTCTTTTCCATTCCTTCCCCATCAAACCTCTGCCTCTTCTCCGTGCGACATTTCTCTCGTCCCTCCTAACCAGCCCCCACAAAAACGCACATCCTTACAGCCCAAAACACTGTTCGTCACTGGGAGAGGGGGCACCACTGGTCAAGCAGCCACAGGCCCCCGCGAAGACCACCTTGTCTGAGATTTTTCTGCGGCCCACCTCCTTTGCCCCACAGCAGAGGGATTGTGGGCCTTGCGCCACTCAGCTCGGGCCCCAACTCAGTGTCTTGGGTTCAAAATTCTTCCCATCCTGGCTTTGCAAACTTCCTTCCTCTCCTCCGTTCCTCTCATTCTCTCTTTTTCTCTCCTCCTCCAAAGTCGATGGCTGAAAAAACTCCGTTTTCCTGACGACAGCACCATCCTCCTCCAAGGTGGATCACCATTGCTCCCCTTGAAAACCTGGGGGGCGGCCTTGCTACCTGTTTGCAGACAAGGCACCAGACCTTCCATAAACCCAGCTCTTGTTTTCTCTTTCGGGGCAGGGTCAGGAGCCACAGAGGGCAGTGTGTGTGTGTGTGTGAATGTGCAGGGATGAGTGTCACCGGCTCCTGGGCAAGCGAGTCAAAAGTTTCCCCCCCGGCTCAGAAAGGCAGTCCGCACAGAACCCGGGCGTGCACATGCATGTGTGCGTGTGTGCGTGTGGTTGACACCTGCCAATCAAATCAAGCTGTCACTCAGCGGGCAACGCAGGGGCACCCATCCCCTCCAGCAGTGGGCGGTTGGGGGTGGCAGCAGCATGCGGAGTGGTATGCGTTGGTGGCGCCGGTCTCCCTCCGTCACCTGGCACAGGCCTCTGTAATGTACAGGCTGACTTTCCCCCGGATGAAACTCGAGTAAACGCTGAACAGCTTTTTCATGGTCTGGACGCTCAAGGTACGGGTCGAGACGTCATCTTGGGGGGCTTCCTGCAAGAGAGGTGTCTGTTTACTTAACGGGTATCTTTCTTTTCTTTTCTTTTTTTGCCTTTCAGGTTTTATTTTTTATTTTCCCCCAAATACTTTTTATTGCTTTTTTGTAACAACAACAAATAAATACTCTTACATTCAAAAAATTGTATGTTTTCTTATTTACCCTGCGCCTTATTGCGCCCGGACTTCCTTCCATCCCTTCAACCGTTTCCTATCTCAAATCTTTTCTTACAGTTTCTTATTTACACTCCATCCACATCACAAGATTTGCATTAATCCTGCTACAGTTTTTAAATTATTACAATTGCTCCGTATACATTCAACAAATTTACTCCAATCCTTTTCGAAATTTGCTTCTTTTCGGTTCCGAATCTTATAAGTCAAATTTCGCCAATTCTAGGTATTCAAACGTTTTTGTCTGCCACGCCATTAAAGTTGGGATTTCCATTTCTGAGCCACTAAGATTTTAGCGGCGGCCGTTGCGTACATGAATAGTTTGTAATCTTCCTTTTTTAATTCATCCCCTAGCAAAAATGCTTCTGGTTTCTTTTGGGAAAGTGTATTAATGGGTATCTTTCACTGGAAAATACCCAGTGGCGCCCACTGGGTATTTTGGACTACAACTCCCAGCCAGCCGGGGTGCCATAAGCATCATAAAAAGGCCTCTGGCCACATCAGCCTCCCCAGGTGTCCTAGACTACCACTCTAATAATAATAATAATAATAATAATAATAATAATAAATTTATACCCCACCCTCCCCAGACAAGGCCGGGCTCAGGGCAGCTAACAAGCAATAATAAAAATAAGTTGAATGAATACAACTTAAAAACAAAATTAAAATACAACATTAAAATATTGAAACATCAGCATCAGCTAGGGTCAGATGGCAGCCATTCAGACCATAAATTTCAACTATGATACTGCTTTAAACAGCCATGGCTTGCCCCAAGGGATTGGGGAGTTGTAGTTTGTTAGGCTGCTGAGAGTTGAAACGGCCCATTACCCTCACAGAGCGGTTTAATCGTCCCCCTTCGCAAGGGAACTCTGGGAATTGTAGCCCTAACAACCCTCAGCACCCTGAACAAGCCATAGCTCCCAGAAATCTCTTTTTTCCCCACACGGAACTTGCTGGAAATCAGTTATGGCACCTCTCATGTAGGCACCATTGACATCCTTGAAAGAAAAAGCCACAGCTCCCAGAATCCTTTGGGGGAAGCCATGACTGTTCAAACTAGTATTATAGTGTGCTCTGTGAGGGGAAGAAGGGGGTCTCCTCACAACTCTCGCCTCCCTTCACAAACTTCAGCTCCCAGAATCCTTTGGGGGGAAGCCATGACTGTTTAAAGTGGTATACTGTAGTACGCTTTTGTGAGGGGAATAGCGGGTCTCCTCACAACGTTCAGCATCTTTAACAAAGTACAGCTCCCAGAATACTTTGTGGGACGCCAGGACCGTTTAAAGTGGTATCACAGTGAGCTCTGTGAGGGGACTAGGGGTCTCTTCCTTCAGAAGAAGCCATGACTGTTCAAACGGGCATCATAGTGCTCTCTGTGAGGGGAATAGGGGTCTCCTCAGAAATCTCAGCGCCTGTAAAAAGCCACAGCTCCCAGAATCCTTTGGGGGAAGCCATGGTTGTTCAAAGGGGCACCATAGTGTTCTCTGTGAGGGGAATAAAGGGGTCTCCTCAGAAATCTCAGCACTCTGAAACATAGCTGTCAACGTTTTGCTTTTTTTTAAGGGAAATTCCCTTATTCTGAATGGGATTCCTCGCAAGAAAAGGGAAACGTTGATAGCTATGCTCTGAACAAGCCACAGCTCCCAGAATCCTTTGGGGGAAGCCGTGACTGCATGGATGTATCCGGGGCTTCTTTTTCACATGGAACTTGCCGGAAATCGGTTCTGGCACCTCTCATGTAGGCGCCATTGCCATCCTTGAGAGAACAAGGGAGGTGTTCTTGGCGAGTTCCAGCGCCTCTTTTTTTCTAGAAAAACAGCACTATATAGTGCTCTCTGTGAGGGGAATAAAGGGGTCTCCTCAGAAATCTCAGCACCCGTAACAAGCCACAGCTCCCAGAATCCTTTGGGGGAAGCCATGATGGTTCAAGGTGGTATCATAGTGCTTTCTGTGAGGGGAATAAGGAGGTCTCTCCTCAGAAATCTCAGCACTCTGAACAAGCCACAGCTCCCAGAATCCTTTGGGAGAAGCCATGACAGTTCCAAGGTGGTATCATAGTGCTTTCTGTGAGGGGAATAAGGAGGTCTCTCCTCAGAAATCTCAGCACTCTGGACAAGCTACAGCTTCCAAAATCCTTTGAGGGACGCCATGATTGTTCAAAGGGGCACCATAGTGTTCTCTGTGAGGAGAATAAAGGGGTCTCCTCAGAAATCTCAGCACCCGTAACAAGCCACAGCTCCCAGAATCCTCTGGGGGAAGCCATGACTGTTCAGGGTGGTCTCAAAGTGCACTCCGTGAGGGGAACAGGGGTTTCTCCTCACAACTCTCATCGCCCTGCCCTGCCATTAAGGCTAGCCTTTTTTTTTTCAAATGAAACTCTCTTCCCTCCACCTTTCCCTCCCTCTTTACAAGGTGATCAAGGCCTTTGCAGTGCATTCCCACTCTGTGAGGGAATCTGCCTTCTGGTGAGGGCGATCCGAGGGGCTTAACTTGGGCCATATTTCCAGGGTGTGAAGGGAAGCCCTTGGGATTTGCAAAAGCTGCCTCAGGAGGAGGCAGAAGGGTGGGGAAAGGAGGCCTGGAAAATTACTAGCGGGTTCTGGTTACCGCCGGAAAGGAAAGTGGCCCAGGAGAGTCAGGGTTCGCTCTCCTATTCAGACACCTGAAGGCAGCCCTGTTTAGGGAAGCTTTTAATGTTTAATAGGTTATTGTATTTTAGTGTTTTGTTGGAAGCCGCCCAGAGTGGCTGGGGAAACCCTGCCAGATGGGCGGGGTATAAATAAATTATTATTATTATTATTATTTCCACACGGCCTGCAAAGAGGTAGCAATATTTGCACCGCCACGCTAACAGAAATATTGGGGATTTTGCTCTCCTGTAGAGGAGACCAACTCTCTGCTGTTCCAGTCTAATGCTATTTCAAATCGGGAAATTCTGCTTTCTTGGAAAACTTTGCAGGCAAATCTGAATCTGCAGAACGGCTGCTTTGGCGATTCCATCTCCCTACTCCCGCTTTGTTACTAAGAAGAGTCGAACCGCCTCTACTGCGCTTCGTCCATGCGCTCCGAGGAAACTGCTTCTCTCTCTCTCTGCACATACTGGCCAGCAGGAACGGAAGACTTCCTCTGCGCACGTGCAAAGTGCCAATGTGCATGCTCCCGAGATGTCTCCGTTACAACAAAGCGCTGCTGAGCACATGTGCAAAGGCGTTTCTCTCCTCCTAAAAGCCACCTGGAGTTAAGGAGCAGGGCTGTGATTTGTCGTGATGCCAGCAATAGAGCGGGTTGGACTAGATGACCCTTGGGGGTCCCTTTCCAATTCTGTCATTCTGAGCAAGGAACTCCAGCCTCCTCGCCAACCAGCACTCCCTCCCCACAAATCTGGTGCTTCGCTCTCACCTGGGCTCCGTGGCCGCGCAAGATGTTTCTGATGCTCCGCAGGCAGCTCTCCATCACTTCCAGCTGGCGGACAAAAGGCTGCATGGCCGAATGATGCCTTTGGAGTTGGCTGATAGCCCTCGAAAGGAGGGTCTGGCCTCTCCACACCTCGGACGCCTGCCTCGTCCTCTAGCAGAGCAGGGTGGGGAGAATAAGTCCATTAGTGAAGTTACAGGGGTGGGCATATACGTCCGTTCCAGTTACTCTCAGTTTCTCAATTTCCCCCGTCTTAAATTATCTTCTCTACGTTTCTGCAGCAATTTTCATTTAAAAGACAAATCCCCGTGAAAGTTCATCGGTAATTAAGGGCAAATTTCTTCCTAATAGACACATTTTTGCAATGAATTTCCCCTAATAGGGACCTTAGTAGTAGTAGTAACAACAAGAAGAACAACAAAACAACAACAACAAATTATTATTATTATTATTATTATTATTATTATTATTATTATTATTAATGCCCCACCCATCTGGCTGGGTTTCCCGAGCCACTCTGGGCAGCTCACAACAACAACAACATAAAGTGAGGGCAAAGGGAAGGTAACAAATAAATGAGTATAGTAATAACACATTTTTGTGAGAGGTTTTCACTAGTATGTGCATTCTTATGCCTGCTTTCCTCTAACAGATGAGTTTTTTATTTTTACACTCATTGGTTGGAGAATTGCATTGCAAAATTCAGAGAAGTGTGATGTTAGGAGAAAGCCTTTGTTTCCGTTCTCATATTGGTTTATTTCTCATTAAAATGCAGGCAGAATTTAATTTCTCCCCCAGCCCTGGTGCTGAGCAGGCCCCGCAGTGAATTGCATCAGCCCCCCACCCTGCTCTCGGCAACCCCCTTCCCTACCCCAGATCAAACTTACATTCATTTTTCTCCAGCTACGTATGTTGACTCCGGTGTCCAGCACCATGACAGGTTCAGGCAGGTTGCAGGAAGTTCTACAAAGTTCTACCTGTAGAGAAATCAGAGTCCATTCACATCTGTGCTACGGATTTAAACTGCTTTGAGATGTGGCTTAGTTGGCACAAGGAATTCTGGGAGCTGTAGTTTTAAGACCCTCAGGTGAGCCCTGCAGCTGGATCCGACCAAAGGTCTGCCTCATCCTGCATCCTGTTCCCACATTGGCCCAGCTCAAACAATTGCCAACAAGAAGCCCACAAGCTTCCTGGCACTTTGGGACTTGCTTCCCCAGTGACTGGTATCCAGAAGGGTCCTTCCTGCAGGGAAGTTATAGGCCAATAGGATATTTATTTACTTCATAAAATTCATACACCATTTTATTGTAACACACAAAAAATCCACTTCAAAGTGGTTTACAAAAAGGGTAAAGCAATAAAATTATCAATAAGAAGAATGAACAACGATCATTTAAGACTTTCGAAAAGTTAAAATAACAGTAGACTAAAAACAGATTAAAATCTGTACCGGCTTTCTAAAAAATCTGGGTAGGTTTGTCTAAACAAAAATGTTTTTAGCAGGATGCCTGCCTGATGAGGGTGACTACCTGGTTATCAATAGGCAGGGAGTTCCAGAGTGTAAAATGCCCAGTTCTTACAAATGCAAAATGGGTATTATTTGCCATATTTGTCAAAATTGTCAAAAACGACACTGCCAACATGGGTCGCCGTACATCCGGAGTTTCCTGGACATTTTTAGCGATTTCCACCTGGACACTGATTCCGACTGCAGTATTCCAGCTATGTCCGGGAAATTTCAGTTGTATGGCAACCCTATATTATGTGGCCCCTGTAGCAGTGCCAGTTCTGCAGATCTAAGCAGCCAAGGAGACACGTTGGGGTAAGGTGATCTCACAGGTAAATTGGTCCCAGGTTGTGGTAAGGGCTTTGCATGCCAAAAGCAAAACCTTGAGCTTGGCCCGGTAGATATAGAATCATAGATTCATAGAATTGTAGAGTTGGGAGGGACCCTGAATGTCATCTAGTCCAACCCCCACAATGCAGGAATCTCAGCTAAAGCACCCATGACAGGTGGCCATCCAATTTCTGCTAAAAACCTGCAAGGAAGGAGAGTCGACCGCATTCCAAGGGAGTCCGTTCCACTGTCGAACAGTGCACAGATGCACCATTTAGCGTATATTTTGTCATATATTTATTAAGAAAATATTTGTAAACTGCTTCCTTTAGAAAACAACAACAGCCCTCTGAGCAATGTACACAAAACAATATAAAATGATTACCAGTGCTACCCAGATAAAAACCAGCAAAATGCTTCAGAGCACTGTATGCTTGTTGAAATAAACACCCTTTTTTTGGCATAAAGCTTTTTCTGATGCTATAAGATCCCTGCTGGGCCAGGCCAATGGGGCCCTGTCTGGTCCAGCATCCTGTTCTCACAGTGGCCAAACAGATGACCCAAGCAGAGTAGACAAGATGTCAGAAGTGGACATGATGACTAGGGCCTGTTCATTTCAGTGGGTCTCCTCTGAGAGGGACACATCATTTATTTTCCAAAAGCCCTTTGAAAGCCATGCAGCTTGTCAGAGCAAATGCCATAGTTTTAACTAGTGCTTAGAGTGTCGGGCTAGGACTTGGGAGAGATCAGGGTTCAAATCCCCACTCAGCGGCCATGAAGCTCCCCAGGTGTGACTTTGGGGGGCCAGTTGTTGCCTTCTCTCAGCCTCACCTACCTCACAGGGTTGTTGTTGTGGAGAAAACCATGAACGCGCCACCTTGAGCTCCTTGGAGAAGAAGGTGGGGTATAAGTGCATTTGAATAAGTGAATGACTAAACCTTATGCCCTGTGTGTGTGTACAGGAAGGAAATAAAGAATGGGAAGGGAGCAGAGCAAAAAAAGAGGGCAAGCAGACGTACGATTTCACTCTCAGCCTTGCTGACATCTTGGATGTACTTGTTCATGACACGCTGGTCGCACATGGGCTCGGGGGTCGTAAGGAGCACTGGGGCCAGGAATCCCAACATTAACAGGAGAGGAGTCAGCCCTGGAGAATAAAAGGTGAGGTCCTCCTTAGATCTTTGGCAGAGCTGCTTTGCATTGTCATGCGCACGTCATCCATCTGCCCATCACAACTACAGTCATACCTTGGAAGATGAATGGAATCCGTTCCAGAAGTCCGTTTAGCTTCCAAAATGTTCAAAAACTAAATCGCGGTTTCCGGTTGGCTGCAAGAAGCTCCTGTCGCCAATCAGAAGCTGCAGAAGCCCCGTCAGACGTTCGAGTTCCAAAAGAACATTCGGGAGCCAAAACGTACGCGTTCTAGGGCATTCGCGATCCAAGGTACAACTGTAGTCTAGCGGTGGTTTTGTCTGTCCACCAGCCCATCCACCCACCCATCACTATATCAAATATTAAAATTCAACGAAGTAAACAAAGACAAAACTATTTCCAAAATACCCATTTTCCTAGAAACTGATTTATATGTATAATTAATTAATCTTTTGGTTTTTTCCAATCCGTTCATGTACAGTAGGAGATGTATCTTCTCCCCATAAACTTAGCAGCAGTTATAAGATTGAACACTTAATTCTCGATCACTTTTCTGGGATGATAATAATAATAATTTATGATTTATATGCTGCCCATCTGACTGATAACATCCTTCAGATAAGCAAGCAGAAATATTTTAGGTTCTAAGAGTATATGATATCCTAACTTATCAGAAATGTTAATCCTGGACGGATTTCCAAAATATTTGCATTTGAGATCAGTTCCAAAAGATATGAATATAATCCACTATTATTATTATTATCTTATTGGTGGCCTTTTTTTGGCTAATGCAACCCAAAGTGACTTGTCACAACCTTCCTTACACAGAATCATAGAATTGCAGAGTTGGAAGAGACCCCAGAGGGTCATCCAGCCCAACCCTCTGCACTGCAGAAACCACAAGCGCCAGACATTTAATTTTGCCTGCCTCCGGAATCCTACAAGCAGGATGGAATGCAGGAAATTTCAGGTATGGCTTTTAGAGGTTTAGACAGCTCCAAATCCAGCTGTAAATCTCAGGGAGGGAAGAGACATTCTTTGGGTCCCCATCTTCCCCACCCCCTTCTGTCAGGGCTCCTGTCCTTCAATAACTGCCGGGCAGGTAGGGAATATGAAATGCCCCCTCCTCTCTCATTCCTCCCCAGCTGCCTCCTCGTGTCCACAGTATAGTTTTCAAGACCATCGATCCAGGCTGGGTGTGCGCGCACGGTTTCTTTCCATCAGCGTTTTGCATTTTAGGCGAGTTGCTTAGTGATGTTTGCAATGTTGCAATTCCAAACTCCAAATTCGGCACTGCAGATCCCACTTCAAGCTCCCTTTTATCAGCTCGTGGCGTCGACAGAGCCCTTATCAGCACCTTCCACTTCTCCGTGCTTCAACTCATACAGTTTCTCTCTCTCTCATACACACACACACACATACCACAGTCCAGCCTGGGAGTATGCATGAGATTTCCCCAACATTCTCCTGACACACAAAACAGAGAGAAATTCCCAGAGACCTCCGAGTCCCCAGAAATGTGGCTGTTCAGAAAGAAGCCCACAGAGCCCCGATCTTCTACCTGGTGTGGCCAAACAGCTCAGAGTGCACTGTGTGGGTGGACCCTTGGTTCAAAACTCTCAGTTCTCTGCCGCAAACTGATTCATTGGCTTTTGACAAGCCTCACCTGCCCCCTAAGCTCCCCAGTGCCGAAAGGGGATGCAAAGGCTGGCCTGCCTGGGAGGGGTGACCTTTGGCCTGAGAAAATGCTCTGGTTTCCTCACTGCTGAGAAGTCCCCTTCCCCTGGGGCTCCTCTCTTCCAGAGGATCCAGGTGTCTCTCAAGGCTGCTGCACAAATCCTAGAGGCTCCATTTGCAACCGATCAAATAGAACGAAACCTTAGGGCTGCAATCCCAGTATCCCCTCCTTATCAGGCATCAAGTCGCCTATGCCCCCATAAGAACACAGCTGAGTGGCTTCCAAATTGCCCTTCTTGACAATAAAGAGGCCCAGGGCTACCTAGCCTAGGACATTTGGGTTTCCAGAGCCCCCACTCCACCCCCGCAAGGCACCTGCCTGCTGCCACCTCCTGCCTATTATCTAACAGCCTGCCGGAGGAGGATTTCATAACCTCAGCGGACCCCTGCCTTGACTAATTTTACAACCTCCGTTTCCCAAACTTTGAGAGAGTCAAGGGAGAGGGTGGGTGTAAAGTCACCCAGCAGCAAGCTTGGTGTGCAGAAGGTCCCTGCTTCAGTCCTCCCAGGCACCCCAGCATCAAGGAGCAGGCCATGGAGGAAAGGAGCCCCTCTCTCTACCTGAGACTACTCCAGAGGGAGGGCAGCTACTGCTGCTGTCGCTGCTGCCAGTCAGGGCTGGGCTGTGAGAGGCAAATGGCCTGGCCTCCAGCAGCTTCCTCTAGCCACCTTGCTGTGCTCAGCCAATTCCCTTTGGCAGGGGCCCAACTCAATCGATTGCCGCAGCTGGCACCGTCCCCCTGACCTCCCCCTTGGCAACCGCCGGAGCGGACGGACGCTACTCACCAGGTATCCCCATAGCCAAAACTTCATGGTCCTAGAGACTAGCGGACCCCTTCTGCCCCATGGCTAGCCATGGACCGTCATTCCGGGGTGGGGGCGGCGGCTGAGCAGGTTGACCGCGGCAGCTCCACGCGAGGGACGTCCAGCAGCTTATATTTCCCTCCTTTCTCTCTCCAGATCACGCAAAAGTCCAGCTGGTTTGGCTCAGCGAAGAGGAAGAGGTCACAATCCGCAAACGCCAAGGTGAGTTTGCAAAGGACCTTGTCCGAAACGGTGGCGCCCTCTTCACCTTTTGACCGGGAAGCCTAACTTCTCAAGAACGTGGTCGGCTGCTCCAGTGCCCTGCTCTCTTTCTCTCTCTGGATCCCAATTGCCACCTGAAGAACCTGGTTTCTTCTCTTTTTGGAGGATCTGCTCCTAGCAGCGCCGGACACCGGCTTGCATTTTTGCACACACACACACAAATTCCCCACTGATGTTTGCTCGGAGGAGTGGGGGAAAGCGACCCCCTTTCCCCTTCCTCTGCAGACCCCAGATCTCGCGAAAGCTGTGCCACCGGACGCACGAGGCGCAGTTAATGTTTCATCCGCCTGATCCCTCTGCTCTCTGCCCGATGTGGCTTTTCTCCCGCTCTGTCTCTCCCCCCCACCCCGACCTCCACCACGCTCCCTTCCTTCCCTGAGTGCAAGAATGTCACTGGACAGGCCAGGAGGGAGATGGACAATTTCCCTCTGCCGGCCGGAAGCCAAAGGGGGCTTTTTTCCCTTCAAGGAGGAAGGCCCATGCAGGACCAGACACGTCTGCCCCTGGCCGCAGGCCAGACACAGGTTAAGGCGTCAAGGTGGATAAGGTCACTGCCTTGGCAGGCCGCCATCCAGAGAGCCTTGGTGTGCCAAAAAAACGGCGTGAGGAGGAGCACCCCTGACTCACGTCTGGCCAGAGTGACGCTCCTCAGCTGGTGACGCCTTCTCCTCCACCGATGATGCACCCGGGTGTCCTGCCGGATCCCAGCATCCGTGGCTCTCCTCCTGCTCCAAGGCACCCTGGCACCTGACTTTCAGCTGCCCCCTCCCCTAAAATCATAGAGTTGCCTGGGACCCCCAAGGGCCATCTATCCCAACCCCCTGCAAGGCAGGAATCACAGCTGGCAGGTATGACCTCTGTTTAGAAACCTCCAAGGAAGGAGAGAGCCCACGACCTTCCAAGGGAGTCCGTTCCTCTCTCGAACGCCTCTTGCCGTCAGAAAGTTCTTCCCGATGTTTAGGTGGAATCTCCTTTCTTGTGGTTGGAATCCATTGCTTCAGGTCCTGCCCTCCGGAGCCTTAAAAATTCTTCTATGTGAGAAGCCTTCAGATGTGTGAAGCTGACTATCTTATCACCTCTCAAGTCTTCTCTTCTCCAAGCTAAAGAGACCCAGCTCCCTCTCCTAGAGACTCCAAGCTTCAGGCCTGAACTTATAGGCATAATAACCCTTTGCCCACGAGGGTGCAAACAACCCAGTCATCCTTGCTTACACAATTTACTGCTTTCAATCGAGCCAACTCTGTTCCTATAAAAGATGCACTTTATGCAGAGTTAGCGCATTGTCCCACTTAACCTCTTGAAACGCTGATGCTTCAAATCTGGCTCTATAGAAACAGCTCCCCCTCAGCCCCCCCAAAGCCTTTTAGGCAGAGACCCCTCAAGAATATAAGAACATGGATTAGGCCAATGGAGCAACTAGTCCAGCACGTCCTGTCCTCACAGGGGCCAGATGCCTATTATGGGAAATCCCCAAGCAGGATTTGACCGCAAGAGCCACTCTCCCTTCCTGTGGTTTCCAGCAACTAGAAGCATTATTGCCTCTGACCATAGAGGGCAGAGCATAGCCATCATGGCGGCCAATAGCCATCAATAGCCCTCTCTTGCTCCATGGATTTGTCTAATCCTGTCTTAAAGTTATCACTGCCTTCTGTGGGGGTGAGTTCTGCAGTTTAACTATGTGCGGCATGAAGAAGGACTTTGTTTGGTCTGGTTTGGTTCTGAATATCAGACCCCAAATGCCCCATAGCTGAGTTCTGGGTATTTTCTCCTGGCTCCAAAGCCCCCACATCCACCTTGCAGCTTAAGGCTTGCCACCAGTTCTCCTGCGCCCGCCACAAAAGACCTGCATGGCAGGCAGTAATGCAACAGGTAAAGCTTGCCCCCATTATTGGCTCTCGCTCTCTTGAAAGGTTTTTTTTTAAAAAAAAATCAGGCTGCATTAGCTTTCCATGCTATATTATTGTTAGAACGTTCATTATTGCGGGAGCTTCAGATACCAACGTTTTATTTGCGGGAGGAGGGTGTTATGTGATAAGGGCACATTCCATGCTCAAGATTGAAATACTGTACTGAGTACAGTTCTGGTTGCCTCTGCAGAGCTGGAAAAGGTTCAGAAAAGGGCGTCCAAAACCATTCAGGGGAGGGGCATCTAGTGAAGCTGAATGTTGGAAGATTCAGGACAGGGGAAAGGAAGGACTTTGTCATGTGGTGTGCTCTGTTAACCTGTGGAACTCACTCCCACTGGAGGAAGCGATGGCTGCCAACTTGAATGGCTTTACAAGAGGATTAGACAAATCCGTGGAGGAGGGGGTGGGTTGTCAATCAGTGGCTATTAGTAAAGGTAAATGGACCCCTGACCATTAGGTCCAGTCGTGACCGACTCTGGGGTTGCAGCGCTCATCTCGCTTTATTGGCCGGGCAAGCCGGGGTACAGCTTCCGGGTCATGTGGCCAGCATGACTAAGCCGCTTCTGGCGAACCAGAGCAGCGCACGGAAACGCCGTTTACCTTCCTGCCGGAGTGGTACCTATTGATCTACTTGCATTTTGACGTGCTTTCGAACTGCTATGTTGGCGGGAGCAGGGACCGAGCAACGGGAGCTCACCCCGTCGCGGGGATTCGAACCGCGGACCTTCTGATCGGCAAGTCCTAGGCTCTGTGGTTTAACCCACAGCGCCACCCGCATCCCAATGGAACCTCCATATTCAGAAGCAGTAGAGCTGCAGAGCAACCACAGACACCTCTCCCCCATCAGATCCAGCAGGACTTTCTTACATTCTTATTAAAGAGTTGTCTGTTCTGTCCTGTTCTGCTTCACCTGATTGCAGCTGTTAAGGGCGCAGGATCTTGTCCCTGTGAACAAGGACTGCTGCTCAGTGGAGGAGTCCAGATTCAGCCTCCAATGGTATCTTTCAACAGAACGGGCTACAACCTTGAAGAGCTGGTGCCAGTCAGTGTAGACAATACAATAGACCAAAGGCCTGACTCGCTGTACGGCATCTTCCTCTCTTGCTAGGAGGCAACCCGCTTCCATATTTGGAATCCCTGCCCTCCAATCACAGGGGGGACAGAATCACACCCTTGGCCCATCCAGCCCAATATTGCTTGCACTGGTTGGCAGCAGTGGCTCTCCAGGGTCTCAGGCAAGAACCTTATAGTAGATGCTGCTGGGGATTTAGCCTGGGACCTTCTGCACGCCAAGCAGGTGCAACAGCGGCCCTTCCCCAGATGTGGCTTCTTGCTACTGATGGAACATGGAATTGAGGAGCTGGAAGGGGACCAGAGGGTCATCTAGCCCACCTCCCTCCTGCAACGCAGGAACTGCAGCTAAAGAATCCCAGGTGTGTCCTTGTGGCACTGGAGCCGATGATCTGGACATAGGTTTCTGGGGCTGAATCCTGCCTCCTCTCCTAGCCGCCTCACCTCTGCCCCAGAAGAAGCCCCCTTCCATCTTGGCATGGGCCGCCCGCAGCTGCTTTTGGCTCACCCCTGGATGACGCCTGGCGCTATCTAAGCCGAAATGTCGGCCAAGCCTCTCGCCCTCGGCTCAGCTGCAGGCGCTCTGTGTTCCCTGCTATCACTGAGCAAACCCCAAAGCTGCCAAGAGTGGCCTGGCATCCTTTTTTCCGGAGCCCCCATCCCACATAGAATCATAGAATTGTAGAGTTGGAAGGGACCACGAGAGTCATCTAGTCCAACCCCCTGGAAGGCAGGAACCTTTTGCCCAATGTGGGGCTTCAACCCACAACCCTGAGATTATTATTTTTTTAATAAAAAATTATTAGATTTCCCACAATAATAACAAAAACCACAAAGCAGAATGACACACACACACACACACACACACACACACACACACACAGAAAAATACATCAATGAATAAAAGGAGAAAAAAGGAACAATAAACAGATAAACAATAACAACAAACTTAATTCTTTACAAATTCAACTTTTAAACATCTTGGTTGACTTCCTCTAGTCCCTCCCTTCTGAGTTTCCTTGTAGTTGAAAGTAACAGCTTTCCAACATCATTATTAAACTAAAACAATCTCCAGTTATAGTCCATCTTATCCACATTTCTTAATATTCTAAATCCCATTTATTTAATTATAACTTAGTTTAATCCTAGGCCTATTTGTTTCTTTCAAGTAATTTCTAATTTTTTATATTACAATATTTATTCAAATAGTCCTTAAATTTCCTCCAGTCCTCTTGAAACTCCTCTTCTTTCTGGTCGCGGATTCTTCCAGTCAGGTCAGCTAGCTCCGAAAAGTCCATCATCTTCATCTGCCAATCTTCCACTGTTGGTAGTTCTTGAGTTTTCCAATTTTTAGCAAGCACAACCCTGAGATTAAGAGTCTCGTGCTCTACCGACTGAGCTCTTAAGCAGAAAGGGGGCAAAGGGGCATCAGCCGGGGCAGGAGGGAAAGGAGAAGGGTCTTCCTCTGGTTCAGCCTCCCCCATGTTTGGGCCTACAATTGCCCTCAGCCCCAGGCAGCCGCACAGCTGATGGGAGTTGTAGTCCAAAACATCTGGAGGGCACCAGGTTGGAGCTGATTTCTGTGCCGCTGCTTTTCGTTGCGGACAGCGCCGAGTGATCCAGCTGCCCTTATGGTCTCCCAGCGGCTCCTTTCCTCCAGAGGGAAGTTCACATTCCTGAGCAGAGCAGAGGAGCAAGCTGCTTTCTCTCTCTGCTGAGTCATGGGATGCAGAGCATGGGATGCACGCAGGGAGTTACAGAGGGGCCAGGCTGCTAGTCTGCCTTGCCCAGTACTTTGGAACAAAAGGGCATAAGAAAAGCCTGCTGGATCAGGCCAAAGGGGGCCCACCTAGTCTCCCAGGGACCAGTGCGGCCAAAATAGTCACACTACTCTCAAGCCGCCTCTGCATAGCCATTGTAGCTAGCAGCTCTGGCTAGCCTGACTGCCGATGAATCTGTCCAGTCCTCTGTCTGTCCCAGCCTCCTGGGACACAGAAGAGCTTCATTTTGCCTGTGGATCTTCCAAACATGGTCTCCCAGCATTGCTGATGGGGAGGCTTGCATTTCGGAAGGTAGCGAGAGAGAATCCTGAGGTCCTCAGGACAGGACGTTCTGCCCAGCTCTGTGTTTGCACAGCACGGTTCTGGGATCCGCGCAGGGCACTCCCCCGAGACACGCAGCCTTCAGATTTCAGGTGTCAGGACTAGGGAATCTATGATTAGGTCGGTTTCAGTTTCTCATCTTCCCAATCCTAAATCCAGTTCTCTGTGTGTTTCGGTAGCAAATGATGGTTTATTAATTTTTTAAAATCCTCATGAAGATTCATCAGCATTTTGGTGCCAATTTCTCCTGGAATACACATTCTTGTGTGCTGTTTTGAGCAACAGGTGCCTGTCCCCTGCCACAATGCATTTTTGTACGTTATTTTCAGGACTCTATACATTTCCCCAGCATATGCATGTTCGCACACACTGTTTGGTTGGCGAACACCATCGCAAAATTCAGAGAAGCATGGCTTTGAAAGGATAGTTGTGGTTTTGCTTCAGAAAACGCAAAGTATTTAGTTTCTTATTAAGACGCAAACAAAATCAAACACCCCACCACCACCATTCCCTAATCGTAGCCACCAGCCGCTGCTAGTGGCCATCTCGTAATCATGAAGCCGTGAGTTCCACTGGTGGTATACAGCGAGAAAGCGACGAATGCGTGTTTGTGAGGAGAGGCTGTGAAGCCCTTCCCTGGCCTTCTCTATGTGCAAAACCACTTCTATCTGGTGAGTGAAAAAAGACTCCCCTCCACAACTAGGAAAAGGGATTCTTGAGCTGTGATCCATTCCGACTCTAAGGTGAATAGCCTCTGCTTTTCCGAAAGCAGGTCACAGGCGCATGTGATGTAGTTAAAAAAAATTCTCTTTCATACACACACCGAGAGAAACAGGCCACAGCCAGCCAGACTGTCTGATCACACATCCCCATTGTTATGAGGCTTCCGCCCACTAAGAAGTGGTGGGAAAGCCGCTTTCATTTACTTGGCGACAAGATGCCGCCGTGCCGATTTATGGGGCCCCCAGGGACCACTTTCTGACGGCTGCAGATGCGACGGTCCGTGCCTGGGCCACCTTGCCTGGTGTGCGTACGTGCAACGAGTCCAACGCTCCGTGGGGTCGCTTCACATCACACACGCCACCGAGGAAGGGGGGCTGGTTGCAGGGGAGGTGGGGCGGAGCCGTGAATCAAGGGGGACTCGGAAGTCCTGGCTCCCAGCCCCATATCCCTGTCTAACTCCCTTCCCACTCTCTCGCACTTTGACAACCCAGGAGTCCTGGCTCGCGGTTTTTCCCCAGGCTCCTCCTGACTGAACTCGAATTGCCCAGAGCTGGAGCCTCTTACCCTGTCCGCCTCCCGTTCTGTTATACCGTTTACTAGTTTTCTAGAGAAGCCAAGAGACCATCCCTCTCACATACTTCCTGCCGTTAAGGCTTCACGTAGCCCTCATGGAGGAAATAGTGCTACGGTTTCAATTACGTCTTGATTGGGCCCATTTCACAGATAGCAAACTGAGGCCGAACGTTCACGGGCAACATTGCAGGTGGAGAACTGGTGCCGAGTGTTTGCTGGCAAAGTCTGCCCAGCCAGTGCAGGTCTGGCCATATCTGTCAGAGGAACTTTTGAACTCAGAGCCCTCCTCTGCTCCCATATTCAAGGCTGGGCCAAACCACTAGCTCTCACAAAATAAAATAAAAAAATCCTTCCAGTAGCACCTTAGAGACCAGCTAAGTTTGTTATAGGTATGAGCTTTCGTGTGCATGCACACTTCTTCAGATACATCCATTTGCCAGCAGACGAGGGGAAGAAATCAGGAATTCTGGATCCGCCCTGTCACTGCTCTGAAGCCAGAACGAACTTCCTGCCTCAGGGGACCCAGGTGTCCTGACTGCTAGCAGGAAATCCCTCTCTCCCCAGAGAACCCAGGAGTCCTACCTCACATCCATTCTGCCCAAGTTTGGTTTGCCGCTCCCCCAGCTCCCCCCTCCAGACTTTTAAACAGCTGCAGAACAGGCAGAAATCAAAGAGGTTACGGCTTCCTCCCTCTCTTCCTCTCTAGGGGAGAAAGCTGCATTGGTTGAATTCCTGCCTGCAGAGCAGCTATCCCTGATCTCCCCCACCCCACATTAGGTTTCATTTCCTTGCAAAAGGCGCCCAGGAGAACCCAGGTGTCCTGGCCACCCCCACGCCCCACTTGCTCCTCCGCTGCCCTCCCCACCCTGTGTGTGGCGCTGCTGGGCCCCCGGCCAGAGCTCCCAGTGGCTCCCGGCTCCTCATACGTGCCGGCCTGCACACGCCGAGGAAGCCTTGATCCGCCGACCCAGGCGGGCGGCTCCATCGATCCTGGCCGCGTCTCCAAACAGGGGATGAGGCCGGGCGGCGCCAGCGACGGTGACAGATCAACCAGGCCAGGCGGGAAGGGAGACCTCTGACCTTTGGCCATCGGCCTTCCCAGAGGAGCCTCCAGAGAATGGGAGCGGGGACCAGTGGTCACAGCAGGTGTGGGGAGCGGGGAGCCTCTTCCTGCCAGAGTCTTTGGCCTCCCTCTGTTGCCAACTCCCGCCTTCTTCCTCCCGACTTATGGCTTTTTATTACTATTATCGGCTTATTAATTGCCTCCTGTCTCAAGGCAATTAGATAAAAAAACAAAACAAAAACCAGGTCTAAAGCCCTAACAAGCAGACGCTCGTGATGAAGGAAAACCCATGTTTATCCAGTTTGATTTTCAGTTTTGCTTTTCTCAGTTTAGAAGGAGGTTTTGAAAGGACATTTGCTATGTTCCTGTGATGCGGGTAAGGGGTGGGGGTCGCTGTTAGGCCTCACACCCCATGAGAGATGGAATTACAGTGGTACCTCGGGTTAAGTACTTAATTCGTTCCGGAGGTCCGTACTTAACCTGAAACTGTTCTTAACCTGAAGCACCACTTTAGCTAATGGGGCCTCCTGCTGCTGCCGCGCCGCTGGAGCACAATTTCTGCTCACCTGAAGCAAAGTTCTTAACCTGAAGCACTATTTCTGGGTTAGCGGAGTCTGTAACCTGAAGCGTATGTAACCCGAGGTACCACTGTACTGCAAATAACATGCTCAGCCCATCCTAAATTGCAGGCATCTCTCCCTTTGGCGGCAGTGCGTGCGTCCACTGTCCACTGAGGGATTTCTGAGCTGTGATTCCTACATTGCAGGGGGTTGGGCTGGATGATCTCTTTGGATCCCTTGCAACTCTATGATTCCACCATTATTGCTTCTCCTGGACAAGCTCCCTGAATGAATGGGCTTGGGTAACACTGAATGAGAGGCGCACGACTCCTCTCTTCAGCTCTTCCACCTGCTACATGGGGATAGTCACAATGCCAACCTTACAAGGTTGTTGTGGGAACAAAATAAACTGTAAGCACAATATACGCTAAAGCACTATACCAGGGATCAGCAAACTTTTTCAGCAGGGGGCCGGTCCATTGTACCTCAGACCTTGTGGGGGGCCGGACTATATTTTTTTGGGGGGGATGAATAAATTCCTATGCCCCACAAATAACCCAGAGATGCATTTTAAATAAAATCACACATTCTAATGTAAAACCACCAGGCAGGCCCCACAAATAACCCAGAGATGCATTTTAAATAAAAGCACACATTCTACTCATGTAAAAACATGCTGATTCCTGGACCGTCCGCGGGCCGGATTGAGAAGGCAATTGGGCCAGATCTGGCCCCCGGGCCTTAATTTGCCTACCCATGTACTATACACCATCTTGTTCTTAATGATTATGAGAAGAACTGTTGAACACAACGCATTGCATATGCGTTCTCAGGGAGCTGAGGATTGCAAAATGTTCACGCAGGAGCTGACAACCTCCGGGGGGTGGTGTAGCTTAGTTTAACTTCGATATTCTGTGTGTGTGTAGAAGATTCAGGCCACTGAAAAGGAAGTCCTTCTTGGTGCAGCGCAGAGCTAAACTATGGAACTCCCTCCCACAGGAGTCTGTGATGGCAACCGACTTGGATGGCTTCAGAAGAGGACTGGCGCATTTAATTCCCACAACAGCCCTGTGAGGTAGGCCCAGAGAGAGGCAGTGACTGGCCTAGGGCCATCCAGTGAGCTTCCTGACCGATACTCTAACCACTGCACCGCACTGTGGCTCTCACAGTGCTGGGGTCGCAGCCCAGGGTGTAAAATAAATTGAATAATAAATTGCACAGCAGGAATTCCAGCCTGTACGTCCTGCTCCGCATTCAGGACCCAGAAATGCGGCTTACGCCAGCAAGCCCTGAGACATTGTCAGTCACGTGACTTCTGAGAAAACCTCCTGGAAATCTAGGAAAATGGGAAGGTGGGTTATCATGTGTCAGGGATAACACACATACAGATC